CCTGGAAATGATCGGCGAAGGCTCCTTCGGGCGCGTGTACAAGGGGCGCCGGAAACACAGCGCCCAGGTGAGGAAAGAGACGGCAGGGGAGAGGGCTGGGGGGCTGCCGTGTGCCGCTGGCGACTGATTTCTGCTGGCTGGGGGGGTCCAGGGCCCTGCCAGGGCTTTGGGACTCGGCGCTCATTCATCTTTCTGCTGACGTTCCTGGCCAGTGCCTGCTGGCCTGGAGTCATTCAGGTTCAAGGGACCTCAGGAGGTCTCCAGTCCATCCCCTGCTCAAAGCAGAGTCAGCACTAAATTCGGATCCTGCAAAACCGCAGGGACAAAGCCCCCACAGCCTGTGCTTGACTGTTCTTGGGGCAAACGGTTTGTCCTTGTATCGAGTTGGAAAGCTGCCGTTTCAGTTTGTAATCCCTGTCTCATCCTCCCACCTTGCATGTCTGTAAAGAGCCTGTCTCCACCTTCTCTGAAACCTCCTTTTGGGTATCACAAGATTACTGTTCGGCTTCCTGAGCATTTTTTCTCCAGGCTAACCAAACCCATTTCCCCCAGCCTCAACTCGTACACCACGTGCTTCAGCGCCCTCGCCATCCCGGTGGCCTCTGCTATACCCACTCAGGCCTATCAGTGTCTTTCTGTGCCAAAAAACGGCCACAATATTGCCAATGCGGTCTAACAAGTGTCAAGTAAAGGGCAATAATCACTTCCCTCAAGCTCCTGCCTGTTGATACAGCCCAGGGTGCTGCTAGTGCTCCCCACTGCCAGGGCATGCTGCTGTCTCATGTTTAGCTTGCTGTCCACCAGTGCCTCTAGCTTCTGTCCCCTGTTTCTGTCAGTCCTAGTTTTGTCTGTGCTCACCGATTTATTTGCTTTGTATGCTAGTGTGCAAAGTACCGTGAGCACCAGTGTCAATGTACAAGGGCCCGGGGGAAGCCCCAGCTTCAAGGGATCCAGGGAATAAATGTCTTGTTTGGTGTGCTCAGCTGGAAAATGCTGAGTTCTGTTTGGGTTAAATGCAGGCTCTGCCAGCACAGGTGGGAGCCTGGTCTGATCCCAGCTTTGCCTGCTTTGAAAGGTGGTGGCCTTGAAGTTCATACCCAAGGTGGGGCGGTCTGAGAAGGAGCTGAAGAACCTGCAGCGGGAAATTGAGATCATGAGGGGCCTCCATCACCCCAACATCATCCAGATGCTCGACAGCTTTGAGACTGACAAGGAGGTGAAGGGGACTTTCTCAGGACAGATGCTTTTTCTTGACTGGGGTGGGGGAACAAGGGCTGGCCCCTGGTGTCACAGGGACCTCTTTCTCAGGAGATGCTGATGACACTCTCCAAGGGCTCCAGCAGCTCTTCCAGCCAGCTTGGTTTGCTCTGTTCCCAGCCGTTTCCTGGCTTGTGTTGAGTGCTGCCATCCTGCCACCAGCCTACTCTGCTTCCTCAGATGGCCACATTGGGGTCCCCTGCCCTCAGGGCATTCCCACCCTCCCTGAGGACATGCAGGGACCTTACGTGGGGGTTGTCTGAACAAGGACTGGGAGGCCAGTCTGGTCAGTGTTTTTCAGAGCCCTCCAGTACTTGCTGTGTGGGGAGCCAGCACCCAGCTGGGCTGTGTGGGGTGCACTGGGTCATACACAGAGGTGAAGGAGCTAGGCAGGGGTGTGTGATGGAAAAGGGGTGGTTTGAGATCACAGGGTGAGAATGGGATCTTCAGAGACTGTGACTTTTCACTGGCCTAAACTGTGATGGAGAGAGTGTAATAGAGAAGGATTGAAGACTATGCTATGGGACATGGGAGCATGAAATAACGTAATTGCACAGCAGATTACAAGCAAACAAGCAAAACAAGCTCAGGGGCCACTGGGCATGGAAGTACCATTCTGGGGTTGTCCGTTTTCCCTCTTCCCTTGTTTCTGCTGGTTGTCTGAGATAAGGACAGCCGCAAGGGCTCTGCTAAATGCCAGGCCCTCGCTGCAGTGCAGCCACAGCCACCCAAGCTCATGCGCTGTGCATGATGACACCGCAGTGTCTCCCTCATCGATTTACTGCCCTGCTCTGTCCTGGTCACTCGGGCATGATGGGGATGCGGCTGTGTGAGTGCCTGATCCCACCATGCTGCTCCTCCCTCCAGGTGGTGGTGGTGACTGACTACGCAGAGGGGGAGCTCTTCCAGATCCTGGAGGACGATGGGAGTTTGCCCGAGGACCAGGTGACTGTCATGGCAGTGGCCACGCAGTGTTTGCTGCAATGTGGCGAGAACAGGATTTGTCTGCCTGCAGGCAGTGGGTCTCTGCTGTGGGCCAGGAGGCATCAGGGGGGTGAGGGTACCCCTGAGGCTTTACCTGGCAGAGCTTCTGGAGGGGATGGAAAGGGGCCAGGTTGCACTGGGGACAGTTTCCCTGTTCCCTCAGCAAGGACAACACCACCAGGCTGCTGCCTCAGCCATCAGCCTACTCTGAGGAACTGCTGGCCCACAGCTGGGGGCGGTCCCTGCCCCAAACAGGGCAAGGGCAGGAGTGGGGGTACTGGGGGGAGCCAGGTCATAAGGGACCCTATGGTTGTGCTAGCTGGTGGCACCATGGGACACAGGGTGAGGCTCCCGTGTCTCCGGCAGGTTCAGGCCATAGCTGCCCAACTGGTCTCTGCTCTCTATTACCTGCACTCCCACCGCATCCTGCACCGCGACATGAAACCCCAGAACATCTTGCTGGGCAAAGACGGCGTTGTCAAGCTCTGTGACTTCGGGTGGGTGCTGGGGGCCAGCTTGAGGGGGACACTTGGGCTTGGGGCAGCCAAGGGGTGTCGTGGGTGCTATAGAAGAGGAGGGGGGAGTATGGAAGGGGACCTGGATCTGTGTATGTTGAGAGGTTGAGCAGGGATGGGGGATTTTGAACTCCAGAGGAGAGGGGTGTTGGTAAACTCATAGGGATCTCCCTGGGAGCTGCAATGGATGTTTCAGCTTGAACTGGCTGTCTGTGCTTTGCTCTGAGCAGGTTTGCCCGTGCCATGAGCATCCACACCATGGTGCTGACCTCCATTAAGGGCACCCCGCTGTACATGTCCCCTGAGCTGGTGGAGGAGCGGCCATATGACCACACGGCAGACCTGTGGTCTGTGGGCTGTATCCTGTACGAGCTGTTTGTGGGCACTCCTCCCTTCTACACCAGCAGCATCTTCCAGCTTGTCAGCCTCATTGTCAAGGACCCCGTCAAATGGCCCGAGTCCATAAGCCCAGTCTTCAAGGTAAGGGCAAAGGCCCTGTCTGTGGGGCGAGATCTGTTAATGTGGCAGCAGCTTTGGCCTCATCTGCTGCCCTGGTGGGTCACTCTTAGGTTTTATGTCCCCTAACATGGATTTCAGAACACAGAGAAGGCATGAGATCTTGGCCTCCTGGGAGGGGGACCCTTATCACTGCTGTCCCTCTGTAAGCTGGGAAACTGGGGCCAATAGTGGAGGAGTGATTTACTGGGCTGGGAAGGGAAATGTCTTCCTGTCTGCCCTAAGCACTAGAGCCACTCCTTCCCCAGAGCCAGGCAGGTAACGCAGACCTCCTGGGTGCCCTCACTGCGGGAGACTGGTGGGTACACTGTACTCACTGGTGGGTGCCAAGCATGCGTCAGTGACCCTGGTGCTGTGCTGCCCTGTAGAGCTTCCTGCAGGGACTGCTAATGAAGGACCCCCGCCAGCGCCTGTCATGGCCGGAGCTGCTCTCTCACCCCTTCATTGCTGGACGGGTTACTGGTGAGTACCAGCTCTTTTTCCAGTGCTGGCCAGGTCCGTTTCCTCCTCCTACTGCCTGGATGCTGGGAGGACTGCCCTGCTTTTTTTACTACTTTGCCTCCTTACTCCAAGCACTGACCCCTAGCTCCTGCCCCTGGGCTTGCTCAGGGTTCCCCGGGATTCCCCTGGGATCCCAGAGCCTGTCAATCTCCCTGTGTCCCAAGGGAGAGCTGCTGATGAAGTTCTCCCCTTGCCTCCCCAGTGATTGATGACATAGAAGAGCACGGGATCTCAAACCCCTTCACCACGAAACTGTCCCCGGAGCTGCAGGCCCTGAAGGAGCAGCAAGCCCATTCCCTGGCCCCCAGGAGTGGCCAGTCCAGGATCCTGAGAAAGGCCCGTCAGAAGATGGCTGAGGAGGCACAGAAAAAGGTGGAGGAAAGTGTGGGATTCCCCTGTCTGTGTCCCACAGTCAGGGCAAAGGAAGGACACTGAAATGGGACCTGGGGGGAAAGACAGAAGATACATGGGGCAGGCTGGGGTGTCAGCCACATACATGGCAAGACATGGAGTCTAAGGGGCTCATCTGGCTGTCTGAGTAACCTTGCCCTGACCAAACTTCTCTGCCATCACCCAGGGGAAACTGAAGGCAGGTGATGCATCTACGAAGGACTCTGGCAAAGGCTGCCCAGGGCATAGACCCAGAGAAGCTCCTGGGAAGGTAGCCCTTGTGGAGGGGGAGCCACTGGCTGCCTCCAAAGAGAAGAACCCCAGTGTCCTGCAAGGAAAGAGCAGCACGGCAGAGTGGGAGTTGGAGGAGCCTCCACCCAACCCACGGTGATGGAGGGCTGGGGCTGGGAGAGGAGGAAGAGGGGAAGGTGGGGTGGCTCACTGACCGTGCTGTTTCCTTGGCCAGGGAGCACAGCATCACTCAAGACTATGAACGGGAGTTTTCTGGAGCAAGGGCTCCTCCACAGCCTGGTGCTGGCAGGGCAGAGCCCCAGGGCAGGTGCAGCATCGAGGCCGTGGACCTGGAGAGTGAGGTAGGACGGTGTCTTGTGGTGAGAACAGCAGGGCCCAGTCCCCAGGTGCTGGTACAGAGACCCTGGGGCAGGCAGGGTCTGTGGCACCAGCCCTCTCTCCTCCATGGCTAGGAGCTGGAGAGCGATGAGGAGTGGCAGCACCTGATCGAGGCCACAGAGCCTTTGGCCATGCAGCTGAGCACGCCGCTGAGCCTCCTGAGGGACCTGGCCTTCCGGCACCGTGTCCAGGCCCGCCTGGCAGAGTCTGCTCAGCAGGTGAGTGATGGGTGGCTCAGACCGCTATGACTGGGGACATGAATGCTGCCTTCTTCCCCAAGATTGGGTCAGGAGCATGAGGAGAGTCCTCAGTCCATCCATCAAGGAGATCCTCTGCTTCCCCAGGAGTCGGAGCTGTCTCATGCACTTAGCTTGCCACCTGCTCCCCTGCCTGAAGGGGTGGAGGGCTGCCCTGTGGCTGATGGAGAGGCTACAACCGCTGCTGATCACGAGCCCTTCTGGCTTCTCTGTGTGCAGGTGCTGGAAGGGATGCTGGAGGGAGCCTCCCGTCTCCGCCCTGTGCTCCGCATCATGGGCAACCTCCTGGCTACCCGGTGCGACTCTGAGCTGCTGGACCACTTCTGCCGAGAGCTGAATGTGCCTCTGTCCCTGCTGTGTCTAGCCAAGCAGATCCTGGAGAGTGGTAGCACCAAGCAGGTGGGTGTAGGGTCCCAGAGAAATTTTGGCTTCTTCCAGCCCTGCAGAGTGCTGGTGCTGAGGAGGCCTTGGCGTCCTGCTGGAGCCAGCTCACAGAACCAGAGCCTCTTCCAGGCCCCCTTGAGAAGGGGGAGGTCCTGGCAGGGAAGGATCCCACTGTGGTGGTGTTGGGATGGCCAGCAGACAATCCCCACTTGCTGTTTCTCTCTGGATTCTACAGCAGCCCTGGTGTGTCACGGTGCTGACAGACCTCCTCATGGTGACTGCAGTTTATTTCAGCAGTGAATGCAGCCTGGAGGAGAGTGGGCAAAAGGACAGGTAGGGACAACCCTCTGTGCTCTGAGGTCTCTTGTGGCCACTGCGGGGACCCGGCAGTAGGCGGGAGGGTGGTGTTCATATTCTGTGACTGGAGCTGCCTCCATGGGGAAGCATCACGGACTAAGTGCTTCATGCCATATCGCGGTGCTCACAGAGCTTTCCATGAGTGGGACTAATCAAAGGGAAGGCATAGCTGACGAGAGTCCAGTTGTGCTGCCTGCTGGCACTGGCTCACAGTGCTAGTGTGTTCTGCCTGCCGTATTAGCCAGGGCCATATGGGCCTGGCCACACCCTGTCCTCGCAACCAGGGCCTGTGTTTCTCTGCTCTCCTCTGCCCCTGCTGCCGCCTCAAGCCTGCAGGCCTTTCAGGAGTGTGCCGGCTCCTTCCTAGCCCTGCTGCCGGAGCTGCTGGCTGAGCCACCCGACAGTGAGATGAGACTCTGCCAGCAAAGCCTTCTGGTAAGGGTGCTCCTGTCTCCCTTGTCTCCATCCTCTCCCCCAGGGACAGAAGCTATGGGGCTGGGTGTGCATGTCAGGGGAAGCGCAGGCTGAGGACCCTGCTCCCAGCTGTGGGGTCTGATGCATTCTTGTCAGAGCAGGCTGTCTCACCCACTGGGGGTTTTGGGGGGGGATCACATGCAGAAATGAGCTCTCTGAGGGGGCACCTTCCCTGACTGTTCCTCCATGTGGCTCCCACACAGTAACCTGGCTGGAGAGGACACTTGGAGGTCCCTGAAGCTCCAGCACATGAGTCTTTCTCCCATATCTGTTGTCCCCCCACAAACTCCTCCCCCATTGCCCTTCCATCTCGTCCCACCCTTGATCTGCAGTGATGGCCCCCCCTGTGTCTCCCCAGTGCTTCACCCTGCTCTGTGAGAGCCTGGATGCGACATGCCCTTCCGTCTCTGTCCCCTTCTATGACAGCCTGCGAGAGGAGCGTCAGCCCCTGCTAAACAGACTCCTCCAGGGATCCATCTCAGAGCAGCCTGCTGTGCAAGGTAGTGCTGGTGGCAGCTCGCCACCTTCTGGGCTTTCCCCTCTCCCTCCTGCCCTTGGGCTCTCTCAGAGCACTGACTGCTATTGCAGTGCTGTTGGCCAGAGGAGGTGGCTGAAGCTTATCTACCCAAACCCCTGCCAACCACAGCTCTCCTGTTTTCTTCCTCAATCCCAGATCTCACCCTCCTCATGTCACAAGCCTGACTTTTCCTCTCTTGGCCTCCAGCCCCATCCTGCTGCCCCTCAGCATCCCTCACCCTTAGCACATGTCTCCCGAGCTCTGTCCCTGTGCAGGTACAGCGATGGAGGCCAAGTCAGCCCATGACCAGAGCCTATGTGTGGCAGACCTCTTCATGGCTGCATTGGCTGCTGCCTGCAGCATTCCCCTGGAGAGGAACAGCTGTCGGGAAGCCAAGCAGCAGGTCAGGCCAGGTCTCTTTGCAGGGCGAGGAGGTGTGGTCCCCACAGGGACAGCAACCCTTTGCCAGGAGGGTCTCCTTTTTCAGCAGTAGAGCGGAGGGCTGGGGTCCTCCGGCTTCAGTGGCTGCAGGGCTGGTGTTTGCAGGCTGCTCCTTCCCAGCCAACAGCTGAGCCTCAGGAGTCTAAGGACTCCTAAGACAATTAAGAGACTCGCACTTAGGATCTGAACTGTGGGATGGGCTAAGTAAAGAACTAGGCAATGCAGAGAAAACATGAAGAATTCTTATATGACAGTGATAGGAACTATAGGAAATCTGAAATTGAATGGACAATAAATAAGAGGGAAAACAAAACCACAGATTTACATTTGATCCTTTAACTCAAGTCTGAGTCAACAAGGAGGGGAGCAGAGGAGGAATCTCACCTTGCTCATCTCAGCTGTGGGACTGTGCATCAAAGCCATGCTGGGTCATGGCAGATGGGCATCCCTTTGTGAACACAGGCAACGTGTAGTAAGCAGATGCCTGCTTTTATTAATTTGTTGCTAGCATTAAACTCCTTAAGTCTGTGCAGTGCTTCAGGTGTCCAGGGTGCAAAACAGGCTGATTTCTGCAGGTTGCTCGGGAGGTAGCCGAAAAGCTTATGGAAGGAGAGAGCCAGCAGCTTGGGAGGCTGCTGGGGAGACTGGAGCACCCAAGCTGCTCCTTGAATGTGCTCAAGGTAATGGCCCCGTCCATTTATCTGGCTGTCCCCCGAGGTGCCTGGACCTTTGGTCTGTGGTTAGGAGCATGGGGAAGGTGGAACCATGGGCTCAGCCCTCAATGACTCCCATCTCCCTGGTGTCAGTTGCTGGGGTGTGACTGGGATGGGCTTGGTCACCACATCCCTGTCCCCAGGGGCTGGTATGCATCTCTCCCCTCTGCCTCGCAGATCCTCTACGCTGGCTGCCCTGCCAGCCCGAGCCTGTGCCAGCACCTGGGAAGGAGCCAGCGACTGTGGGGTTCCCTCATGCAGCTCTCGAAAGGCAAGGTAGGCCTGACCACAGCCCCAGTGGTGGCGTAGGAGTGTGGGCAAGCAGGACATGTTCCTCTGAGTGCTGCTCTAGACCAAGCTGGGGGATGTGTGGGGAGAAGAATTTGGGGGAACTTAGTCTGGAGAGTTCAGTTCTCCTCCAGGGCCCAGAAATGTCCCTTCCTCCCCTCCCAGCCTTGCTGTACCCCTGTGACTCCTGCTCCCTTGGCAGGTCCCCATGGTGGAGGTGGCCCAGGGGGCAGCCTGCGAGGCCTCACTGTATCTGCTGGCCCTGCTCACCCTGCAGCTCCAAACCTCCCCTCCCAGGTAAGCACCCACTTTCACTCATGGGTGGGAGATGAACGTGGCCTGCCCTGAACAGCACTCTGCCCTGCACCCTGCCCAGAGCTAGGCTTCTGTTCCCACTGATTCCAATCTGGACACATCAGCAGAGTGCTGGGCAGCATGGGCGGGTGCTGGGGATGCGGCGAGGGCCCAGCATGGACAAGGAGGTGCTGTGAACCAGGGCTCACTCCTCCTGCAAGATGGCTGTTTCCCAACCCTAGGGGTATTTGGATGCTGCTGCTCTGTGGGATGTGAAACTGTGGGAACACAGTGCCTCTCCCCTGCTCCCTGTGTTTCAGGCTTGAGGAGGTGGTTACCCTGGCCACGGACCTCATCACCCAGTCTCCTGTTGTCTCCCTTGTGGTAAGTCTGCCCACCCTGCCAGAGCTGTCACTGAGAGCCCTGCAGAGCCCCATGTCCTGTTTGAGTCCTACCATTGCTTGCTCAGGGTGGGGTGGGGGCAGGTGCAGCCTGGCTGTCCCTGCCCTGGGCCGAGGGATGAAGAGTCAGCATTGAGTGGTCAGATGGGAAAGTCCCAAAGGTGCTGAACTCTCCCTGTCCCACAGGGTGCTGCAGCATTCCTCCTGACACAGCTCAGTCAGCATGGGGTGGCCTTGGAGCTCGGGGGAGAAGAGATCCTACCGGTGGTGACAAATGCGCTGACAGCACCTGCTGAGGTACGGGATGGGGACGGAGGAATAGGGGAGCTGTGCTGTCACCCCGCAGTGGAGGTGTGCAGTCAAAGATGGGGTCAGAAGGGCACAGGTGTGGTGCTGCTGCCCCCCTCAGACCCAGCACCTAGCTCCAGCCTGTCCCCTA